TCATATCTGTTGCATTCCCAGCTAAATTTTGATAGTGAAAACTGTTAAAGAAGCAATTTGAAAATACTTATCAGCAAGGAAAACCTATATACCTTTTACCCTAAATTCCTCTTAGGAATTTAATCTTCAGAAATGAAAGGAAAGCACAAAGATTTTATCCAAAGATATGTGTTGTAACTTTGATGGTTGTTGTTGTTGAGTACTTGGGTTTCCCAAGTAGGACTCTATCATTTGATCCTTACCTCTAGCCCTTTTTTGCTTCACTTTTCTTCTGTTCATGCCTGGGCAGGTCTGGAACATAATCCTCCTATTTATACTCCCTATAGCTAGGATGACAGATGCATGACCCAGCTTTTGTTGGTTGTTGTTTGTTTTTTATTATTTTTTTTGTTGGTTGGTGGTGGTGGTGGTGATGGTGGTGGTGGTGGTGGTGGTGGCGGTGGTGGTGACCAGACCCAAAAAAAAAAGGGAAGCAATTTTTTAGGGGGGTTGGCCGTGAGGCTGGAATTCTGGGCCTGGGCACTGTCCCTCAGCTCTTCAGCTCAAGGCTAGTGCTCTACCACTTGAGCCACAGCACCACTTCTGGCTTTTTCCGCTTATGTAGTGCTGAGGAATTGAACCCAGGGCCTCATGCATGCAAGGCAAGCACTCTACAGCTAAGCCACCTTCCCAGCCCCAAAGTGAAGCAATTTTAACATATTAAAAATGTTAAAGATGTTTAAATGTTAAAGAATATTTAATAATCTAAGAAAAAGCTTGCAGTATAATACAGATAAAAGCAAAATACAAAACTGCATGCATACAATAATATTAATCTGACATATCCAGAAGGATATAAACTTTAACATTATCTTACCTTTTTCCAGTGGGCCATATTTTCATGGTCACAGCAAAACACATATTTTTAAATGTAATTTATTACAATTCTACTTTTAGGTAAATAAATAAGGTTCATCTTTTTTTTCACTTCTAGGACTAAAGAAACATAACATTTTAGTTTATTGCCTAAATACCATGTGTCCTCCTGAAAAATAACCTATAAAACACAAAGCTCCTTGAAAATAATTAGTTATTTTTGAAATAATAAGATATTTTTCATTTTTTTTCTCATACTACAATGTTTCACCTCCTTTCCCATTTTGTAAATGCCAGCTAGGACGCAGTGGCTCTGGATGCTCAGACCCCATCCATGGTGGGGAGTAGGGAAGGGCTGGATCTCAGGTGTGATCAGCTCCCGAGGTAGAGTAGAGTCAGAGCCAGGTGCGGACAGGGCTCAAGCAGAGGATGACAGCAGACTGGGTGTACAGAGGGTTTAATCACACAATCCAATCTGTTAGGGAACATTAGAGCCAAGTTTCTCACTTGTGAAGGAGGGGATAATGAAAGTAGAAAGGATGGAACCTGGAAATAACCGTGTGAACTTGGACTAGAATTGAAGGTACTAACCTGACAGGACTCACAGATGTTAAGAAATATACAAAGATAGAGACAAGCCAGGCGCCTGTAATCCTAGCTACTCAGGAGGCTGAGATCTGAGGATTTCGGTTCAAAGCCTGCCCAGGCAGGAAAGTCTGTGAGACTCTTATCTCCAATAAACCACTAGAAAACTGGAAGTGGTGCTTTGACTCAAGCAATAGAGCACTTGCCTTGAGCTGAAGAGCATAGGGACAGTGCCCAAGCCCAGAGTTCAAGCCCCACGACCGACCAAAAAAGGAAAGATGAGACATAAATGGAAGTGGAAATAAGTGCATGCATCTGCACACACACAAACACACACACACACACACACACACACACCATTACCCAGCACTCTTTACCAACACTGTAATAATAATGAGCCCAACAGCCATAATGACATTCTCCACTAAAAGATCTTTGGGAAATGACTGATTTCAAGATTATGGCAGAAAACCTTTGACATCATAAAATATGTGCCTATTCAAGGGACATATCAGAGGACAGCAAATTCCAATTCAAAGAGCTTCCACTAACTGCATCTGAGACAACTGGAGTGCCAAATAATTATACTAGTTATAAACCACCTGAAGAAAACACAAAACTATAGACTACTACTAAATAAACTGAAATTTTGTTAAGTAATTGGCTATTAACCTACCTCCAATATATCTCATCTCAAAACATTTACCAACAAAGAGAAAAAGGATAAGTTCATAATGGAGAAGCTTCATTATAAAAGTGAACATGAAGCCTTTCCTCCTAACTACTTACATGTCTGAGATCCAGAGGATTGTAGTTTCAGACCAGCTGGACAGAAATGTCCCCAAGAGATTCTGTTTCCAAAATAACCAACAAAAACCTGGGTTGGACTCAGTTGTAGAGCTCCAGCCAAGTAAGCAAAATGTGAGGTCTTGAATTCATGCCCAGGTACTGGCCAAAACAAAAAAACAAAAAAGGAAGGAAGGAAGGAAGGAAAGAAGGAAGGAAGGGAAGGAAGGAAGAGAGGGAAGGAGAGAAGGAGGGAGGGAAGGAGGGACGGAGGAAGGGTAGGAGGGAGGGAGGGAAGGAGAAGAGAGAGAGAGAAACAGGACTATAATGGGATTGACAAGACAGAGGAACAGAGAATTGCCTCTGTGGTATACAGGTGAAATACTATCATAATCTGAACTCTCTCATGAGAAAATATTGAGTGAGCTAGAAGTGAAATATTCTACCACATAGAATTTTTTCAAAAAAAATCAGTCATTAGTATCAAGGTCTTCTGAAGAACAGTCCCAAACTGAAGGCAACTAAAAACATAATGAAATGGAGTGTCCTTTTCCTGAATAGGACATCCTACATGATCAGACAACTGACAAAGCTTGAATGGCAAGCATGTGTCAAACTCCCAGTCCCCCTGCTTCCTTTTCACAAATTCTGAGATTACAGAATGTACCACCCACTCCTGGATTAATTTTCTCATTTTGATCATAAGAATGTTTTTGTTATGCCGGGCGCTGGTGGCTCACGCCTGTAATCCTAGCTACTCGGGAGGCTGAGATCTGAGGATCGCGGTTCAAAGCCAGCCCGGGCAGGAGAGACCGTGAGACTCCTATCTCCAATAAACCACCAGAAAACCGGAAGTGGCGCTGTAGCTCAAGTGGTAGAGTGCTCGCCTTGAGCTGAAGAGCTGAGGGACAGCGCCCAGGCCCAGAGTTCAAGCCCCGACCGACAAAAAAAAAAAAAAAAAGAATGTTTTTGTTTATAAGAAATGATTTCTATGCAGTGGTGCATAGACTATCAAGAGAACAGAGTTCTTTATCCCCTAATGACAAAGTGAATGAGTCCAGGCAAATTATCTCTACCTCTGCATCCTCATTTGTATTATAGGAATACTACAAGCATCTATCACTCACAATTGTTTTGAGATAATTGTGAAAATTAAGTGCTCCTTCAGTGCTTAGTAAATATTGGCTGTTCTTTGCATGCTTTTAGATAGTAGCCACACTATAGTATGAAAATTTGGTTGCCTATATTTAATCTTTCTCATATATATTCAACCTTCCCTTGAGTCCTCCTCTTTCCTCTCCATATTGGTCTTCTGTTTTTTGTTCTTTTTATTGTCACAGTGATGTACAGAGGAGTTACAGTTATATAAGTAAGGTAATAAGTACATTTTTTCCTACGTCTCCCCCACACAAGTTGTACAGATCATTTCCAATATAGTGTCTTGTGAGAATCACTGTTGCACTGATTCACCCCCTTTTCCTTTGTCTCATCATTCTGTTGTTCCCCTTCCCTTCCCTAATTCAGATAAATGTATATACAATACCAAGGTACCAAAATCAGATACAATGACAGCAGGGGATATACAATAGGGGGAAGAACATAGAAAATAAATAAGAAATTACACAGTACATTAAAACAACAACAACAAAGAAAAACCTCTTGTGTCCATGTTTTGGAGTTCATTTCTCTTAGCATCATCTTCTATGGTCATATGTACATAGTTAATAGACTACTCTGCCCATCTGCCAAGATTATCCTGGATGTATACTGATTATTGCAAATAAGAGAAACCATGGGACCTACTGGCTTACTTCACTTAATATGATTTTTTTAGTACCAACTCATGCCTCTCCATCACAAAGCCTTGTATTCAGATGATTTACCATATAGTCCTAATACATAAAATCGTCACCTGTAGAATATGTATGAAAGTAAGTATGTAACAAAGTATACAAAAATCGTATTTGAACAGATTCCATAAGATAATGTTTTAATTAAAATAGAAACAGCCAGGCACTGGGGCTCATGCTTATAATCTCTAGCTACTCAGGATGCTGAGATCTGAGTAATGCAATTCAAAGTCATCCTGGACAGGCAAGTCCATGAGACTAACCATCTAAAAAACAAGTGAGCCAGGCACTGGTAGCTCACGCCTGTAATCTAGCTACTCAGGAGGCTGAGATCTAAGGATCATGGTTCAAAGCCAGCCCGGGCAGGAAAGTCCGAGAGACTCTTATCTCTAATAAACCACTAGAAAACCAGAAGTGACACAGTGGCTCAAGCGGTAGAGCGCTTGCCTTGAGCTGAAGAGCGCAGGGACAGTGCCCAGGCCCAGAGTTCAAGCCCCACAACTGACAAAAAAAAAAAAAAAACAGAAGTGAAGCTGTGGTTCAAAGTGGTAGGCAGAGCTTGGGCTCTGTCCCTTAGCTTTTCCTGCTCAAGGCTAGCACTGTACCATGCACACTACAGCTCCACTTCAGACATTTTGATGGTTAATTAGAGAAAAGCGTCTCAGACTATCCAGGCTGGCTTCAAATTACAATCCTCAGGCCTCAGCTTCCTGTGCTGCTAGGATTATAGGAGTGAGCTACCAGCATTCAGTGGTTTAGGACATTTTAAAAATATGTGTCTTATTTAATCTTTAAAGATAAATTCAAAGGATACATACTTAAAAACCAAAAGCCTAACTTACGTTTCTACACAGGATACCAATAAGAGGAATTCTTATAAATGTAAAGTTAACCTACTTTTTCCCCAAATATGTCTGATTATAGGCAATAAATACAAGAATTGGTGTCCTAACACAAAATGCAACAAATATGGGGCTGTCCGTGATCATCTCCTTTATATACGGGTGGGAGATGACTCTCTTGATTCTGAGTATTGCACCAGCACTCACTTTAACGGGAATGATTGAAACTACAGCGGTGACTGGTTTTGCCAACAAGGATAAACAAGAACTGAAGCGTGCTGGAAAGGTAAAATGACATCCTTGAACCATCGTCCCATTGTAAGAGAAAATAATCAGAGGGCCTATACTAAGGATTATTCATTTCCTGTCTTAGGAACCAGTAGAGTGTTCCTTTAGGTTTTTCACTCAAAGCTCGTGTTCTACCACTGAGTCGTGATTCTACTTCTGGCTTTTTGACAATTAATTGGAGATAAGAATCTCATGGACTTTGCTGCCCAGGCTGGCTTTGAACTGTGATCCTCAGATTCAGCCTCCTATGTACCTGGGATCACAGGCATGACCCACTGTCACCTGGCTAACCAGTTCCTTTAATGATACAGTTTCAAAACTCTTTATCACATTGTTGAACAGTTTTTGAATATACAAATGATTCTAATATCATTTAAGATATGTATCATAGTGACTTGATCACACTCCAATAAATATGAATATTCATAAGTAGGCAGGCCAAGTACCAGAATCAATATAATCTGGCCTGGCTGACCCTTGACCAATCTTGCACTAGGGAAGGATCTTTGGAATGTTTCGTTGAGCTCTGTACATGGATCTGCTTAGCAAATATTTGCCTTAAAGTTAGAGAATGCAGCCTGTATGATTTTTTAATTATGATAATTTATAAAACATTATATTAGTAATGTTATTTAGAGTTGTCCATCATATTGTACCATAACATTTAGATATATGTGTGTGTATATATATGTACATATATACATACATGTGCATATATGTACATACACTTTTCCTTTTTCTTTCTTCTGTGTGTGTGTGTGTGTGTGTGTGTGTGTGTGTGTGGTGTGTATTGGGGCTTGAGGTCAGGGTTTCAATGTCTTGCTTGGCTTTTTAGGTCATGGTTGATGCTCTCCTACTTGAACCAGGCCTCCAATCCAGCTTTTTACTGGTTCCTTGGAAATGAAATCCCTCAGACTTATAAGCTAGCTTCAAACTATGATCTTCTAAATCTCAGCCTCCTGAGTCCCTAAAATTATAGGCATGAGTTACTGGTGCCTAACTTGACTTTTCCATTTTAAGTCATTAATCTCAGACTCTCCAATCAGTAATTTCCATCAAACAGGCTTAGTTTACCAAAAATTAACTTAGAATATAAGTCAATAAAATATATTGGTTTCTCTTTTCGTTGCATATATCGATTTAGATAAATTTCCAAAATGGCTTTCTTTGATTTTCTTAAAGGTGAATATATTTCATTTCTATAATGACTTTTTCTCTGCATTGTTAAAATATAATCATAAAGATATTTTGTTGAATGCTTCTTTTTTTTTTTTTTTGGTGCTGGACTTGAGGCTTGAACATAGGGCCTGGGTGCTGTCCCTGAGTTTTCCCCCTACTCAAGAATAGCACTTTACCACTTGAGCTGCAGCTCCACTTCTGGCCCTTTTTTTCTTGGTTAAATGGATATAAACATCTCACAAACTTTCCTACCCTGCTGGCTTCAAACCATGATCCTCAGAGCTCAGCCTCCTACGTAGCTAGGATTATAGATGTGAGTCACCTATGATTAGCTTAGCTTCAACATTCTTATCCATTTTTCTTACACACTACCTCATATGTCATTCTCTGAGTTCATTTTCGAATTAATGAAGATTTGAAACAATTTAATATCAAAAATTGAGAACGAAGTCCAGGTATCCTAACCACAATCCAAAAATTATATTTCTCTCCTACAACCCAAAGCGCCCTTCAATTAATACTGGGTACCCATCTGTTTCTTTTGTCCCATAATCTCAAGCAAAATGAACAACAGAAAGCCTATTTTTTCAAAACAACCTATAGGTCAGGCATGGTGGTGCACTCTTGCAATCCCAAAACTCAGGAGGCCAGCATGAGTTACACAGAAAGACCCTGCTTTCGGTAGGGAAATATATATATATATTCAAAACAACCTGTGTGTTCATGTCCACAAAAGGTATTCTAAATCAAAACCTCCTCCATTTTGAATTAATGAATTAATGTTATTACATGTCTTAAACTATATAAATATGGAAAGCATTAATCATATTTGAGGTAGATACAGTTGAAAGTTCATAGACATCAAAATGGCAAATGGCTTTATCTTATGAAAAATTTTATCACCACATTGCATAATCCCTTATTGAAATGTTCCTCAGTCCTTTCTAGCTGCTGTTTCCATTTGGATGTTGGAATAAAAGGATTATTTATTTGCTTCTCCCTGCTATCTTTTCTGTTATTGTTGTTGAATGGTTTCATAATTTATGGGAATCTCCTTTGCATGTGAACATAGGCCTCACCAATATTTGAGCTCCCTATCTGTGGAACCAATGCCAATTGAAATTCAATTAAAAAAACAAAAACTTGAATGGAAAGATGAAAGTGCAACACTAAATTCCCCTTAAGTTTATAATCCTCAACTGTACTTTGCATATCTTAAGATGGGGTGGGGAGGCGTTGTCTTAAGAGGAAGGAAAGAACAAGCTTTTCAGGAAAATATTTGACTTGATGTACCTCCTGTGTGGTCAGTGTGTGTCTGACATTCACTGCTGGGGAAAATTTCAGCAGGACTAATTTTCTTCTCTATGTTTTTCATTCTCCTTTACAAGATAGCGACTGAAGCCGTGGAGCACATTCGGACTATTGTGTCGCTAACAAGGGAAAAGGCCTTTGAGCAGGTGTATGAAGAGACACTTCAAACCCAACACAGGTAAGGACAGATTCAAGCTGACTCTACGGCTGCATTTTGTTCTGAAAGGCCATGCTCCAATGGCTTACTTGGCAATCGCTATCCTCTGAAATGTTCCTGATAATGGCAGATCATAACTTCTTAAGAGACTTTACCAAGGAGAGACAAAGAACTAAGGACAGATAGGACTAGAACACACATCCTAGGCCTCCCATGTTATCATGTCTTTCACTATGTATACACAAAACTGTCTTATTTCCCTGAAATACTGAAAAACTAGCATAGTCAAGAAAGGAAGTATGATTTCTCATCCCTTTATATGAAACCTGTACAACAATTTACATTTCAAAATAAGTACCTACACAATAAATGAGCTCATTTAGCTGGCACTTTTTTTTTTTTTTTGGTCGTGGGGCTTGAACTCTGGGCCTGGGCGCTGTCCCTCAGCTCTTCAGCTCAAGGTGAGCGCTCTACCACTTGAGCTACAGCGCCACTTCCGGTTTTCTGGTGGTTTATTGGAGATAGGAGTCTCACGGTCTCTCCTGCCCGGGCTGGCTTTGAACCACGATCCTCAGATCTCAGCCTCCTGAGTAGCTAGGATTACAGGCGTGAGCCACCAGCGCCCGGCTAGCTGGCACTTTTTATCATACTGATTCAGAGACAGAGAGAGAGAGAGATGGCCTTGTGGTCTTTTGCTCTCCAGCTTATTCTGCTAATATAAAATTATGATAGAAAAGTAGACAATACAATATTGAATTGAAACTCCTTTTTTCTTTTTTCTTTTTTTTTTTTTTTTGCCAGTCCTGGGGCTTGAACTCACGGCCTGGTCACAGTCCCTGAGCTTCTTTTTTTGCTCAAGGCTAGCTAGCACTATACCACTTGAGCCATAGTGCCATCTCTGATTTTTCTGTTTATGTGGTACAGAGGAATTGACCCCAGGGCTTCATGCATGCTAGGCAAGGACTCTACCACGAAGCCTCATTCCCAGCCCTTGAAACTTCTTTGTACGACTACATAAAGATAATTTTTTAAGTAATGAAGAAAATAAAAAGAAAATTAGAAGTTGGCACTGGTGGCTCATGACTATAATTTTAACTATTCCAAAGTCTAAGGTCTGAGGATTGAGATTCAAAGTCAGCTCAGGCAGCCCAAGAGACTCTTATTTCCAAATAACCAGCAGTGGACCGAGGTGGAGGTCTGGCTCAAGTGGTAGAGTGACAGAGCAAAGAAACTAAGAGATAGTACACAGACCAAGTTCAAGCCCTAGTACTCACACAAACACATACATATACACATATACTCACACTCACACTAGAGACAGACAAGAAAAAAAATTAAAGAAAATTAGAATATTTCTAAATACCTCTAAACCAAATCACTCTTACAGTAACTAGTCGTTTACAACCTTGCCCATTTATTTAACACTACAAGCAACTTAGTTACACTAAGCAATAGAAAACAATGTCACCATAACATCCATCTTCTCTATAACAATTCTCAATCTTTTTTTTTTAAAAATCACTCTCTTTAATCCTTAGGAAAATATATATTCTCTAAATTATAATGTTTCAGATCTTCTACCTTCATTCCTCAAAGTTGATTAAGTTGACCTGACCTAACTCATGACTCATCATTTGGTAAATTGTGCATTTCAGAAATAGCCTGAAGAAAGCCCAGATCATTGGAAGCTGCTATGCCTTCAGCCATGCCTTTGTGTATTTTGCCTATGCAGCTGGGTTTCGATTTGGAGTTTACTTAGTTCAAGCTGGGCGCATGACGCCAGAGGGCATGTTCATGTAAGTTGTACAAATCAGAAATACCACCAGTGGGACCTGTGGGTGTTAGTCAGCAAGATGTCTACTTAACACACGATTAGCATTTTTATCATGCACATAGGAAAGACATGCTGGAAACATTTGTCATTATCTGTACGTACATTTTGTTTCATTCTTAATTGACAACTGATTGTTGTGTATATTATAGGCTTATAGATTACAATGAACTATGTTGATGTACAGAAAGTAATACAAAAAAGTCAAGCTAATTTTTTGTTATTATTTAGTGGTTATAAGAACTCCAGCCTTCACTACTCAGGAGGCTGAGATCTGAGGACTGTGGTTTGAAGCCAGACTAGGCAGGAAAGTCTGTAAGACTCTTTTTTTCTTTTAATTATAAAAATACTGTACAGAGGGGTTACAGTTACATAATGAATATATTTCCTATCAAGTGTTGTTACCTCCTCCTTTATTTTTTCCCTACCATCCCTTTCATTCCCACCTCCCCAACTCCTCCCCACCCCACCCCCACCCCCAAAGTTGTGAAGTTTGTTTTCAACATAGTGTCTTATACATCTCATTGTTACAATGGATCAACCTATATCCTTATTTCAGCATTTTGTTATTTCCCTTCCCCTCCCAAATTAGAAAAATGTGTATACAAGATTCAGGACACCAGAATCAAATACAGTGAAAACAGGGGTCATTAATCTCTAATAAACTACTCAGAAAAAGCCAGAAGTGGTGCTGTGGCTCAAGTGGGATAGCACTACTCTTGAGAACAAAGAGGCTCAGGGACAGTACCTAGGCCCTGAGTTCAAGCCCTAGGAAGAGGAAGCAGAAGCAGAAGAAGAGGAAGAGGAAAAGGAAAAGGAAGAAGAGGAGGAGGTGGTGGGGGTAAGGAAAAGAACCTAAGCAAGGTACTAGTGGCTCATGCCTATAATCCTAGCTATTTAAGGTGAGATCTGAGGAGTGCCTTTGGAAGCCACTATGGGCAGGAAAGACCATAAGACTACCAGCTGCAGCTCAAGTGGTAGGGTGCTTGTCTTGAGAAAAAAGAAGAAGAAAGAAAAAAAAAAGCAAGAGCATGAGGCCCTGAGTTCAAACACTAGTACTCACATACACCCACATTCATAGATACACACACAGGCACATGCACACATACCAAGAATCACCAGTTCACCAGCCCAGTATTTCTGAATCTGACCTTATCTGAGATAAAATTCAGCAGGTTGTCAGAAAACAGCATTAGCAGTTGTCTCCAGACATATTTTTTTGTAAAATGGAATCCTGTGCTGACCATTTCAATAGCAGAATATATGGTTCTTGTTTTCCTTTGTTCTAACCTCTAAAATAATGCAGTGTTGCCTGTGTGAACCTATAAAACATATCTATGGCATACAGCCTTGGGCTTCATGTAGACTAATTAGTCAGACTAATAAGAGGCAAATCTGGAATCCCAGATTCCCATTAAGTGAGCCACTTTTCCTTTGATTCTAATGTAATACATGTAGATGCTCCCAATCTGAAATACCTTGAATTCCAAAAGTTGATTGCAGAACAATTACTCTTAGCTTAGCCTAGGCTGTTATTTTCATAATTAGACAGTGCAGTCATTTCCAGAAATGTGCCTCCAGTTTGGAGAATGAAAATTCCAGTTTTCAGGTATTTTTTCTACCTTTCTTTTCTTTTTCTCTTTCTTTCTTTCTTTCTTTCTTTCTTCCTTTCTTTCTTTCTTCCTTTCTTTCTTTCTTTCTTTCTCTCTTTGTTGTTGTTGGTGGTGGTGGTGGTGGTGGTCATGAGGCTAGAACTCTGGGCCTTGGTGCTCTTAGCTCAAGGCTAGCCCTCTACCACTTGAGCCACAACACCACTTCTGGCTTTCTGGTGGTTAATTGGAAATAAGAGGCTCACGGACTTTCCTGCCCCAGCTGGTTTTGAACCCCAATCCTCAGATCTCAGCCTCTTGAGTAGTAGGATTACAGGTGTGAGCCACCAATGCCCAGCTTTTTTCTTCCTTTCTACATCCAGATATCCAATACCAGGCCCTTCAACATCACTGGCACTATGTCAGCCAAAAGTATACACTTGGGATCACTTTTTCCTTCACTTCAGAGTTGTACTGTTTTTAAATGCACTTAAGATCCAAACTTTCTCTTAATAGAGTTTTCACTGCAATTGCCTATGGAGCCATGGCCATGGGAGAAACACTTGTTCTGGCCCCTGAGTATTCCAAAGCTAAATCCGGAGCTGCTCATCTATTTGCTTTGTTGGAAAAGAAACCAACGATAGACAGCTACAGTCAAAAAGGGAAAAAAACAGTAAGCAAAAATTTACTTTAAGTGTCCACTTACTAAAGGAAAATATTATTTATTAGCCTTGCAAAAGAAAGCTCTCAATAATATAAGGAGCTGAAAGTTTGTAGGAAAGACTTTCATATTGCTAAGACATTTCACATTAAAACACATGCTTTGCTGAGTGCACATGGCTCACAGCTATATTCCTAGCTACTCAGGAAGCTGAGATGTAAACATCGCAGTTTGAAGTCTGCCCAGACAGGAAAGTCTATGAAACTCTTATCTCCAATTAACCACCTAAAACTCAAAGTGAAGCTATGGTTCAAAATGGTAGAGTGCTAGGCTTGAGCAAAAAAAAAAAAAAACAAACAAACAAAAAAACCCTCCGGGACAGTGCCCAGGCCCTGAGCTCAAGCCCCATGACCAAAAGAAAAAAAAATTAGCATACTGAAATACATTTAGATAGCAGCAGTTTTAAGTTTTATTCTTAGATAAATATTTTCATATGATACAAAGAAATAATGTGACTTCAAACTTTTTGTGGACAATATATTTTCAGACAAAAAAAAGGAATGATATTTATTAAATTGACGCACAATTTGTCACAAATTCTTAAAAAATACGAACATTTAATGAGAAAGAATGAAGAATTAAATAATGACAAAACAAGCCTCTAAAAAATAGCTCATACATTAAGCATATATTTAATTTTTTAAACTTTCTTTTTTTTCTTTTTGTTTTTGTCAGTCATGGGGCTTGAAGTCTGGGCCTGGGCACTATCCCTGAGCTCTTCAGTTCAAGGCGAGCACTCTACCACTTGAGCCACAGCACCACTTTCAGTTTTCTGGTGGTTAATTGGAGGTAAGAGTCTCACAGACTTTCTTGCCAGGCTGGCTTTGAACTGTGATCCTCAGTTCTGCCTCCTGAGTAGCTAGGATTACAGGCATGAGCCACCCGCACCCTGCTTAATTTTTAAAACTTTCTAAGCCAAGCTCCAGTATCTCATGCCTGTAATCCTAGCTACTCAGGAGGCAGAACTGAGGATCACGGTTCAAAGTCAGTGTGGATAGATAAGTCCATGCAACTCTTATCTCCAATTAACCATGCAAAAAACAGAACTGGAACTGTGTCTCAAAGTGGTAGAGCACTAGCCTTGAGCAAAAGAGCTCAGGCACAGCATCCAAGCCCTGAGTTCAAGCCCACACCCAACAACAACAACAACAACCAAAACCCTCTCTAGACATTTAAAATGTTAAAGTAGAAATCATCATTAAGTATATATTTAAAGTTTACCTTTAAACTATGCTATTGCTAGAATTTTGATAATAGGTTCATATGTATATATGTATAACAGTTTAAAATAATACATAATACAGCAGAGCTGTGTAACTATTGAAAGGAATGTCCATTGTTAAAAGCAAATGAAAATATCATAAAATTACCAAAGACACATCACTGTCAAAATAAGATTTCATATTTGTCTGTGGGAGAGTAAAGGATGCAGTACAGTTCTTTTGTTTTTGGAGTGTGTGGGGGCGGGGTGCCAGTTCTGGAGCTTGAACTCAGGACTTGGGCATTGTTCGTGAGCTTTTGTGCTCCAAGTTAGCACTGAGTTACAGCTCAGTGTTTCTGACTTTTGATGGTTAATTTCCTGCCTGGGCTGGCTTTGAACCTCAGTCCTCAGATCTTAATCTCCTGAGTAGCTAGTATTATAGGCGTGAGCCTCCAGTGCCTAGCTTGCTACTGTTATTTCTTTCAAAAATTATGAGATGAATTTAGTATCTTAAAGATATGGCTTTTGGAAGTGTATGATCATATGGTTCAGTGGTACAGCACTTGCCCACCACCTTAAAGCCCTAGGTTTGATCCTCAGCCACATACACACACACACACACACACACACACACACACACACACGCAATTGGGGGCAAACAATAATTTTAAAAGTATCCCCCTAAAAAAAAAGTATCCCCCTAAAAAAATCTTATGAACCAAAAATATAAAGGGAAAGTTCATCTTCATGTAGCAGTTCTGGAAAGGTGTTTTGTTTTGCTTTTTCTCTAATGTCCTTGGTGTTGATAGGAATCATCAATCACAAAGAAAATTAAGACACAGACAAAACACTAAGCTTTTATGTAAGTGTCACTGCACAATAATCGTCAGTGAAAAATAAAGATAAATCACAATTCAGGCCACAGTGTACATTAACTATAAAATAACATGTATGCATATAGTTTTATGGGGACACAGGTGCTTCTGGATGAAGCAAAAAGATCTGTAAAATGCAAACCAATTTAAAAAAGAAACAAACAAACAAAAATATACTCATTCAGAGCAGCTAGTCAAACATCCAATCTGCAGATGGGCAGAATAGGTCCAATCTGCATGGGCAAATGGGAGAGAGTATTGCCTTCTGGGAGGCGTGGTAAAGCCCAGTGAAGATGACAAGAAATATGACTATAAAACACTAACAAAAATTATGAAAATGCACACTGAATAGACAGCTCTACAGAGATGAATGTGGCAGTTAAGAGTAAAATGGGGATTTTTAGAAAATACTTATTATGAGTTACAAACTTCCTAAGTCACCCTGCTAAACACAATCACCTTCCTTTCATAGCACACCTGCGAAGGGAACTTAGAGTTCCGAGAAGTCTCTTTCTTCTACCCGTGTCGCCCAGATGTCCTCATCCTGCGTGGCTTGTCCCTCTGCATTGAGAAAGGGAAGACCGTAGCATTTGTTGGGAGCAGCGGCTGTGGGAAAAGCACCTCAGTGCAGCTTCTGCAGAGATTTTATGACCCCGTGAGAGGAATTGTGGTGAGATGCTATTTGATGTGGTTAATGGTACCATTCTGAAACATTTGCTAGGACTTCAACATCCTTGGTGGTTTCAGAAGAACAAATAATGCACAAATAAAAAAATAAAAGCAAAAACAAAATTCACCAGGCGCCGGTGGCTCACGCCTATAATCCTAGCTACTCAGGTGGCTGAGATCAAAGAATATCAGTTCAAAGCCAGCCTGGGCAGAAAAGTCCATGAGACTCCTATCTCCAATTACCCACAAAAGCCAGATGTGGAGCTGTGGCTTAAGTGATAGAGAGATAGCCTTGAGCACAAAAGCTCAGGGACTTTACCCAGGATCAGACAGAGTTCAAGCCCCAGGACCAGCAAAAAAAATTTTTAAATAATAAAATAAATTGTAAAAACCCTCTATCCAAACTCTTAACCAGAAACACAAGTAGACCAATACAAAAATAATGAGCAGGATTTTGAAGCGTAAGACCCTAAAAGCCACTGAATTATTGAGAATGTGGCTGTAGGGAAGGTCCTCTACACCCTTATCAGGGCTCTTTATTCCGTTCTGCTTTAAGATAGAGGAAAGATTTCCTCCTCCGCCTCAGTTCTGGCCTCAGCTGTAGTTGATGGCCAGCTGAGATCTGAGGATATCCATTCAAAACCAGCTTGGATAAACAACTCCTGAAGACTTTTATTCTCCAATTAAAAGCTGGAAGTAAAGGTGTGGCTTAATGGGTAAAGTAACAGAAAGAAAAACACAAATGAGAGTGTAAGGCCGAGTGGCCAAGGCGGGGAGGGGGGTGACACTTTACATATGATTAAGAGTTTTTGTAATCAGTTGTATTAAATTGCACATCTTGATGTTCAAAACATGTAACCTGGGGCTGGGAAGGTGGCTCAGTGGTAGAGTGCTTGCCTTGCATGCATGAGGCCCTAGGTTCGATTCCTCAGTACCACATAAGCAGAAAAAGCTGGAAGTAATGCTGTGGCTCAAGTGGTAGAGCACTAGCCTTGAGCTAAAGAGCTGAGGGACAGCACCCAGGTCCAGAGTTCAGGCCCCACGACTGGCAAAAAAAAAAAGTAACCTCTTTCTCCTTTGAACACAAGGATTGTTTTCTTACCTGACACTTAAACCAACTATTCTTTATATATGTATATAAGTATTCTGTATTTCCATTTCCTTTTCCCCCATGAATTCTCTTCTCTTTCCCCTTTTCTCTCTGAACTCTTGCTCTTGCTCTCTTTCCTTTTTCTCTCTTTCCCTCATGCATATACAAATAATATTTCTCATCCTGCTTCCTTCCTATTAAAAAACAACCCGTAGGTCCCCAAAAAATAACAGATTATCACACTCATCCCCATTCTCCTATAAATTATTATTTGCAAGTCAGAATCATCCAATCATCCTGTGATCTAGGCAACATTCATCTATTTGCCTGGAGGTTAGCACATTCCCTCCTTGAAGTCCTCCAATAGCTAACAGAACCTGAACACATGCCCTCCACCCACAGGAGACAGTCATGGCCTCAATTACTCTCTGACTGCTTTGTCTTCAAGGGACTTTATTTTTCTGAACTTGTTTTTGAGTGCCTTTACTGTCTCCCTCTATCTGCTAGAATAGAAACTACAGAAACAGTGTCTTACCCTGTTCCATTGGTACCTAAAGAATCCCCAATCCAACCGGCATGTTCAGCAAATAAAAGGTGGACATTTTCATATGCCTATGTAGGGCTGGGAGTGTAACTCAGGGTAGAGCCCTCGCATGGCATGTGCAAGACCCTGGGTTCTATCCTCAGTACCATAAAAAAAATTTTTTTAGAAAAAAAAATTCAGTGAATCCCTACAACTCTGACACATTAGTATTTCCATATCAGTTTTCATCTAGTCGCCCACAGGCTTTAAAAAGGGTCTTGTTACACTTCTAGGACAGACTGATCTTTTCTATGTAGATTCAGGACAGAGCTCCAGAGTTTATTCCAGACTCTGGCAGCTCTCTGGAATATATTGCCATTTCTAGAAATGCCAGGTAAGTTCGGAGTCGGCATTTCAAATGAATTATGTGCTGTTTGCTTCTACACAGCGTGATTGATGAGCCTTCCTTGAGTAACACTTGCAATTTGAAATAGCTTGAATTCCTAACCTTCTTCTTATGATTTGTGTATGTTTGAAGGCAGTGAACAGTAACATGATACCGTTGTCAGATCTTAACATACCATTCTCATCCTGCTTCTGGCAGCTATTTGACGGCGTAGATGTAAGAGAATTGAATGTTCAATGGCTCCGTTCCCAAATAGCCACGGTTTCTCAGGAGCCCGTGCTCTTCAACTGCAGCATCGCCGAAAACATTGCCTACGGTGACAATAGCAGAGCTGTGCCTTTAGATGACATAAAAGAAGCTGCCAGTGCAGCAAATATTCACTCTTTCATTGAAGGTCTCCCTGAGGTAAGAAGACAGCTGGAATTTTGGAATTGTGACTCTGCCAAGTAAGCCTAAATACTTACTTAGCCTATGAGGTTGTTTTGTGTATTTCTTGGAAAAAATGATGATGATGATGATGATGATGATGATGATGATGACGATGATGATGATGATGATGATGTGGAGTGTGTGTGTGTGTGTGTGTGTGTGTGTGTGTGTGTGTGTGTGTGTGTGTGTGTGTGTGTGTGTGTGTGTGTGTGTGTGTGTGTGTGTATGTACTGGTACACTGGTACCAGAGCTTGAACTCAGGGCCTGTGTGCCATCCCTTAGCTTTTTTTTTTTTTTTTTTGCTCAAGACTGGCACTCTATCACTTGAGCCACGACTCTACTTCTGGCTTTTTTGCCAGAGAGATAAGATTCTCATGGAATTTCCTGCCTGGAATGGCTTGGAACTGTGATCCTCAGATCTTAGCCTCCTGAGCAGCTAGCATTACAAGTTGAGCCACTGGCACCCAGTGGATACAATCTATTGATAGCCAGCATTTCACATAAACTTAATTGCAAAAAAAATAAAATCTTCTTTTGACTATTTTTTCCAATAAGGTGCATTGTTTGTTAGTTTGTGCCAGTACTGGGGCTTCAACTCAGGGCCTCACACTCTTTCTTGGCTTTTTTTGTTTTTGTCCATTGTGGGGCCTGAACTCTGGGCCTGGACAATGTCCCTCAGCATTTCAGCTCAAAACTAGCACTCTACCACTTGAGCCACAGTGCCACTTCCAGCTTTTTCTGCTTATGTGGTACTAAAGAATCTAACCCAGGGCCTCATGCATGTAAGGCAAGCGCCTTCCCAGTCCTTCTGCTTGGCTTTTTGCTCAAGGCTGGTATCCTACCACTTATGGCTTTTTGTTGGAGAATTAGAGATTAGAGTCAGATTTGTCTGCCTGGGTTGGCCTCTAACCACAATCCTCAGATCTCAGCCTCCTCAGTAGCTAACTAGCATGAGCCACATGTGCCTGGCTTGCATTTGTATTTAGTACACTTGATTAACTTTCATGTCCAGACTCAGCTTCTCTCCATCGGCACTCTGCCTGGTGCACACACCACCCTGAGCCTATTCTTGTCCACATCTGTAGCCATGTACACAGTTGCCTTCCCGATTCTTCCCCCTTATAACTCTTCTACCTCTAGCAAGATCATTAAAAATGTAAAAGACGTTTAAAACTTATGCTGCTTCCAGGATATTTTTCTGCACTTAGAATAGCGAGAAGACTCCTCCATGGCTGTCGAGGCCTGTGCTCTGGCCCGCTGCCTCTCCAGCTCCGGATTCCCCTGCACTACCTGCAGCAGCATGCTAATCTCTTTCTGCCTCATGAACATGCCAACTAGTTCTCAACCTCAGCACATTTGCCTTGGCTGCTCTGCCTTGCCTCCTTTTCTCTGGATTTTTGCACAGCCAGATCCTTATCTTTCAAGCCTTTTTAAAGGGCACCTGTGCTGAGGCCTAACCTGGACACCCACCCTATCCCACACTTCTTCCCCCTATCCCCTGTCATGTTGTCCTGAGGATATGGTTACAGTCTGAAATTTTCCTGAGTGTTTATCTCCTTGTTTATTGTCTCCTCTCTCCACTAATGTGTAAGTTCCTAAATGTCTATGATGTGGCTGTTACAGGGATACAAAAATCTCAGAAGTGTATATATATATATATATATATATATATATATATATATATATATACACACACACACATATATACATATATATGTATATATATTTTATATATATGTGTGTGTGTGTGTGTGTGTGTGTGTGTGTGTGTATGTGTGTGTGAACTGTACACCAGCCTTTAGCATAGCAATGCACAGATCGGGGTAATTGTAACTTTAAGTGCTTATAACATCTGACTTTTTTTGTTGTTGTTGGTTGTGGCACCTGAACTCTGGGCCTGGGCACTGTCCCTCAGCTCTTCAGCTCAAAGCTAGCACTCTAGCACTTGAGCCACATCGCCACTTCCGGCTTTTTCTACTTATGTGGTGCCGCGGGGAGCTGAACCCAGGGGCTTGTGCATGTGAGACAAGCGCTCTATACCACTGAGCCACCTTCCCAGCCCCACACTGACTTTTTATAGCTACATACACAAACATGTAAAATAAAAATAAAAATACCTGCTCTAGAAACAAATGTTTATTTTGTGATTTTTTTGGTAATAATTTTCTAACACTTTTTAAAAGGAAATACAAATTGTGCACTGTTGGCTTATGCTTGTAATCTTAGCTATTTAGGAGCCTAAAATCTGAGAATTGTGTTTTGAAGCAGATTGGGAAGAAAAAATCTGAGATATCTTATCTCCAACCTTATCTCCAACCAAAACCAGACTGCAGATATAGCTCAGGTGGCAGAATGCCAGCAAGTTTCAAGCCTCAAATTTGAATCCTGATACAGAAAGAAAGAAAAAGGAAGGAAGGATGGAAGGAAGGAAGGAAGGAAGGAAGGAAGGAAGGAAGGAAGGAAGGAAGGGAGAAAGAAAAAGAGAGAAAGGGAGAGAGGGAGGAGAGAAGGAGAGAAGGAGGGAGGGAGGGAGGGAGGGAGGGAAAGAGTGAACAATCAATGTAATTAATCTACGCCCTTTTCTTTGGGAGAGGCTACCAAACTGACTTAACATTTACATCACTCCTCACCATGCCCTCAATGGTGACACATAGAAACAGGCTTTGAACCCAATTTGCCTCTCAGTCTAGTAAGATCCTGCAGTACAAACGCTACTAGACTGATACTGTATTTCTTATAAATACTGTGACCCTGTAATTGTCTTTCAATGGCAAGTTCTCTTTTAACCAAGCTATTCACTGTGTTGGTGATTTGTCAGATTGCTATCTGCACCATCCTTATAGTTTATTTTAGTTTAAGGATGGTAAAATGCTAACCATTTTATTTTTGTACTGCTTGACTTGTATTCTTAAATTTCTTCCTTTTCCTTCTTTTCACTGCACCTTTTCTCTAGTTTATGCAAAACTATACATTCCAAAGATTTATTGTTCTTTTCACAATAGACCTTGAGAACTAAAATGTTACTTCCTTAGAAATTAAAAACCATCAAGCAAAACCCAGTTCCTTAGTGTTTTTTATTTTAATTTTAATTTATCTTCAGATTATTGTTTCCCAAAATAAAACTGTAAGAAAATCTTGTGCCAAAATTAAAATTCATTTCTAAAGTAAAACAAAATCAAACCAGATGTCAGGGCTCACACCTGTAATCCTAACTATTCAGGAAGCTGAGAGTTTAGGTGTGAGCATTGTGGCACAGTCCAGTAATCACAACTACTCAGTAGATAGAGATCTAGAACACCTTAGGGGCAGAAAGTTAGCAAGACTTCATTTCAGTTAAAAGCCAGGCATGGTAATGTAAACCTAAGAGCCCAGCTTCATATGGTGCTGTAACTGTGCTCTGAGACCAGCACTGGACAAAAAAAGCAGTCAATATCTATGAAGCACAAACTCCATGTCATTATCTACATTTACTTTTTTTTTTTTGTCAACCATGGGTCTTGAACTCTGGGCCTGGGCACTTTGTCCCTCAGCTCTTCAGCTCAAGGCAAGTGCTCTACCACTTGAGCCACAGTGCCACTTCTGGTTTTCCAGTAGTTTATTGTAGATCAGAGTCTCACCGACTTTCCTGCCCAGGCTGGCTCCGAACCACGATCCTCAGATCTCTGCCTCCTAAGTAGCTAGGATTACAGGTGTGAGCCACCGGCACCTGGCTTTGAAAATACGTTGAATTATCTTAACCTGAACAAAGATGGTAAGATCACTTAATGGAAAAGGATGTGTGTTTACTGGAAACTTTTTCTTGCCTGTTATTTGTTTTTTCCTTGGGCTTATTTCATTTGAAAATAAAAAGTCCCTTATGGAAGGAAGCACAATGCAAAGGCCTTTGGTGTGGGATCAGACTCAACATGCAAATGAAATGGAAGTGTTTACTGCTCATTGCCATTTATTTGTAGCAAAGGCCAAGAACAGATTGCAGCCCTTGTTGGGACACAAATTTTTAAGAGTAGCAAAATCTGAAATATTTAAGTGGTTCTTATCTACAATTACCATGCTAATTTAAATAACCAGGCCTCGCTTTCTTAATTGCATGTTCCATAATAGAAATACAACACCCAAGTTGGACTGAAAGGAGCACAGCTTTCTGGCGGCCAGAAACAAAGACTGGCTATTGCAAGGGCTCTTCTCCGAAAGCCAAAAATTTTACTCTTGGATGAGGCCACTTCCGCCCTTGATAATGAGAATGAAAAGGTAACACCTCCTTCTTTCCTCTCCAGTGCAAAACCAATAGCAGCAGGTGGATCATGGAAGACCAAGGTCAGTGTTGGGGTGTGGGGGAAGTCTGGGAAGAATTATGGTTATAGGGTCACCAATGCCAATGAAAGCTTTGTGCTAAACGCCCATGGGTATAATCCCAGCTACTTTGGATGCTGAGATCTGAGGATTACAATTAGAAATCAGCCCAGGAAGGAAAATCCATGAGACTACGATCTCCAATTAACCAAAAAAAAAACAGAAAGAGAGCTGTGGCTCAAGTAGCAGAGTGTTAGCCTTGAATAAAAAAGCTTACGGACAGGAACCAGGCCCTAAGTTTAAAACCCAGTTTACGCACACGAGAAAAGGAAGGAAGGAAGGAAGTTAGGAAGGAAGGAAGGAAGGAAGGAAGGAAGGAAGGAAGGAAGGAAGGCAGGCAGGCAGGAAGGAAGGCAGGCAGGCAGGCAGGCAGGCAAGCTTTGTCTTTCAGAACAGGTCATTTGGTGGCAAGAAGGGGAACAAGTTGGGCATCAAATTTTCTACAAAGACTTTCTCACTTGTGTTTGTCTCATCAAAACAGGCTCAATTCTAGAAATGTTTCTCTAGTCAAGGAAAAAGTCTAGAAAGTTTTCTCTATTTTATTATTATTTCAGTGATGTCAAACAAATTAATAAAGCAATTCTACACATACAGAGCATAATCGGTACTGCAATATTCTACCCTCTCAAGATTTAGTGTGCTTGGTGCAGGAATCAAGAAAGCCAAGGAATATATGACAATGTTCCTTCCAAGGACCCTTGTTTTTGTTGTTGTTGTTGTTGTTATTGTTGTTTGGGGGGGGTGTCACAGGGCTTGAACACAAGACCTGGGTGCTATCCCTGAGCTCTTTTTGCTCCATCACTTTGAGCTATAGCTTCATGCCCAGTTTTGAGTTGGTTAAGTAGATATGAGAGTCTCACAGACTTTCTGCCCCAGCTGGCTTTGAATCAATCCTCAGATCTTAGCCTCCTGAGTACCTAGGATTACAGGCATGAGCCACCAGCACCCAACTCCAAGGACTCTTTTTGATGACTTCTTTTGCTATGTCCTTCTCTAGTAGTCTCTTTGCTATAAGAGACACTCTTTAGTAAATGAACATTGGTTAAATAAATGATCATCATTAACAATTATCAAAGTCATTACATGATCTTATCTCAATTCTCACACCAACTCTTTTTGATAGGATGTCCATTGTGTAGACCAACACTTTAAGGTGTACAAAGACTAAGTAACTTCACAATATTGTAACTGAGGGTGTCTGACATAAAAGCCACACTCATTGCTATTTGTGAGGTTTGAACTCAGGGCCTCAAACTCTTGCTGGTATTTTTGCTCAAGGCTGGTACTTTACCACTTGAGCCATACCCCACTTCTGGTTTTTGCTCATTCATTGGAGATAAGAATCTCAGATTTTTCTGCCCAGGCTGTTTTAGAACCATAATCTTCATCTGTCAGTTACGTGCTTTTCATGTTTATTCATTGTCACAAGTGCTTCTCTAACTGAATGTCTTACCATATCTAGAATGACTTTTCTAGGTTTCTGTTGAGTAGGGTGAACATTTTTTTACAGAGTAAGACAATTTCTCTGTGAATAAGCTGAGAATGTTATTAGATTACCCAAACTGACTTGATTTAGGCAGGCCTCTTCACATCTAACCCAGCCTGGACATCATGGGCTCCTTTTCTCTTCCAGGTGGTTCAGCAGGCTCTTGATAAAGCCAGGAAAGGGAGGACGTGCCTAGTGGTGGCTCACAGACTCTCTACCATACAGAATGCCGATCTCATCGTGGTTATGCACAATGGAAAGATAAAAGAACAGGGAACTCACCAGGAGCTACTAAGAAATCGTGATATGTATTTCAAATTAGTAAATGCACAGTCAGTGCGCTGACACTCTGAGTTCACACGGCTTTCGTGCAAAGACAGAGCATTTAGTAATTCTTTGGCCACTTTGATCTATTTTACTACACGTATCTATACTTAGAATCATGCTGCTCAAGGGCAGACATGTTCTGTCCACACAGATTCTTAAAAGGAAACAAAAACTTTGCTAGATTCACATGAGCGAGATAATGCCTGTATCCTTCATTTTATGTGTCCTAACGTATTTGGCTTGTAAATCAGTTTGCTGCACAGCAAATGTGTTTCCCCATCAACTTCTGCTATAAAATTAGAAATATGTGCTCGGGGGGGGTACATTACCCAGTGAAGTGAGCTGAAATGCTTTAGCAGAAAGCAAGATGTAGCTGGGCCTGTGGCATGGCAGAGAGGAGGGCTGGAATATTCAATGTAGTACTCTGGGGCTGGTCAGCACACTGTGTGCTCATTCCACTCTCTAGATCCCAGGCTGTGCACACAGTCTCTCGCTTCACATTTCTCAACAAACATCCGCATTTCCCAAAATTCCATTGTATCCTTTCATGGGGGTGGGGGGCGGTGAGTATTACTATATACAATTTCTGGTAGAGTTAGGTAACTACATTCTTTTTCACCACCAAGTGAAAATGTCTCATGTGGTCGATCCTGAGGGCTCCAATACTCCAAGTTTGGGGCCAGCAGAATAAAGCACAGGCCTCTCTGTATATGGACATGTATCACATTTACTTAAATAAATTGTTCGTGGAAATGTATTGTTGGTGGAAATTGTAAATGTCTTCCTTGTTTATTAATCAAATAAACTTGTGTAAACTTTTAGGTACTTTATTTTATGTACTAATATATGACGTAAGTTTTTATTTTCTTTCCTTCCTTCCTTCCTTCCATTTTTTCTTTCTTTCTTTTTTCATTCTTTCTTTCATTCTTTTGTTCTTTCTTTCTTTCTTTCTTTTTTGTGCCAGTAATGGGGCATAAACTTGGGGCCTGGTACTCTTGCTCAGCTCTGTAATGGCAGATATTAATATTGCTTTAAAGAAGTGGCACTAGGGGCTGGGAAGGTGGCTCAGTGGTAGAGCGCTTGCCTTGCATGCCTGAAGCCCTGGGTTCGATTCCTCAGCACCACATAAGCAAAAAGAAAAAAGCCGCAAGTGGCGCTGTGGCTCAAGTGGTAGAGCGCTAGCCTTGAGCTGAAGAGCTGAGGGACAGCACCCAGGCCCAGAGTTCAGGCCCCACAACCGGACCCAAAAAAAAAAAAGTGGCACTATATGCTTTTTATTAGGCTACTCAGGAGGTTGGAGTAGAAGGATCAAGAGTTTAAGAGTTCAAGTTCAGGCTGCTACATAGTGGGTTCAAGATTAGCTGAGGCAACTTGACATGTTCCAAAAATATTCTTTTGAAAAGGCCGTGGGGCCGGGTGCTGGTGGCTCACACCTGTAATGCTAGCTACTCAGAAGGCTGAAATCTGAGGTTCAGAGTTAAAAGCCTGCCCAGGCAGGAAAGCACATGAGACTCTTACCTCCAGTTAACCACCAGAAAACTGGAAGTTGAGCTGTGGCTTAAAGTGGTAGAGCATTAGCCTTCAGCAGAAAGAACTCAGGGACACTGCCCAGGCCCTGAGTCCAAGCCCCACAACCAACCATCATACATACATACATACATGCACATACATACATACATACATAAAATGAAAAAGAAAAGAAAAGGGATGTGGATGTAATTGTGATCGAGCTTGCTGGGTTCGATCTCCAGTATCACCAAAATAAAGAATAACACTGAAGCTTGAGGAAATTAAGTAACCTGTTAAACTGGAACTGAGATGCAATCCTTTGTCTTTGTAATTCTAAAGCCTAGAGCCTTGATAGAAGCACCAAAGACTTTGTCCACAATGTATTGAGGCAAAATGGTTGGTGTCATTATAGATGACCCTGTCATCCATAGCTGAAGTCCATAGCTGAAGTAAATCAAACTTTTGCCATCCTTACATAGTGCAATGAAATGAACTGGCCATGCTCTAAAATATTCCTTATGTCCACATCCTTGGATCAAGGTTGAATTCAGATGAAGGGATAAAATCTATATGAGATGTGTTTTCTTTTAGTATTACATGTAATAGTGTTGTAGATTCAGACACATGCGTGAACAAAATTATGGAATTCTAGAAAAGAAAAATGCAGAGCAAGCAAGGTGCACTTCTTAAGTGAAAGCAAAATACTTATGTTTTATGTAATGTCTGGGAAAATACTTTGAAAAGCATCAGAAATGCACTGTAATTCATTGAGCATGATTTCTTAATTTTCAAGATTTGGTTTAATCCTACTAAAATGTTTTCTTTTAAAATGGTATGAAGATCCATTCAAAGAATTTTTTTAGTTACTGGATTTTTTTTTAGCTTCAGAAAAGCTGAAAACAGATGATTGAGCATTTAAAACTATAAATGAGTGAGTTATTCAACTGATGGAAAGAATGGTCTAGTAACCAGATCCATGTTTCCATAAATGTAAATGCTGGAATGCTATTATTTATAAGCCAAGTGAAATTGCTATTGAATGGAGGTATTCTATTGAATCCTCAGTGTCACTCTATTGAAGTAATATAATATATGGCTAGAGTAGTTCCTGCCCAGTGTTGAAAGTCAGAAGAGATTGTTGTTGAAGTTAAATTACCAGAGCATTGAATAGTGAAGCAACAAGACAGAAAGATGAAAGGGGAAAAGGAAGGAAAAAAGATGGAGGGAACCTAAATCATTCATATAATAAGGAAGGTAATAAATACTTTTAACAGTCAATTTTGAGCTGAAAGGAAAATTTATTCCATCATTAAATTCTCAGAATATCTGAAAAAGTGATTAGTTTTTTAAATGTCCCAGTTTCGACAGAATTACACCTTAACTACACTAAGTTCACAAATTCATTAAATCTTCAATCTCCCAGAGAGTTAAGTCCCCTGAGAAGAGAGGACTTAATGAATGACAAATTATCCAAAACAAGAGACGCTTCACTCTCACACGATAGTACATCTAGGAGGTCAAAGGAAAACAGGATGGTAGGGAGGCGGCACAGAGACTGGGCATGGTCAGCACGGTCCTCAGAATGAGGAGGGACAAAGCCTCACAGAAAAGGCAACCTGCTGATTGATAACCTGGGAAATCCATGGATATACTGAAATGTGCCAGAAGAATTATAAAATGGAATTTCTAGAGCACTGTGTAGTAACAATCAAGTCAATATTACAAACTAAGCTAGAATGATTACAATGAGTTTGCATGCATTAAGCATGCTATCGTTCAGCTTCAACAAGTGGTCGGGCCTTACAAGCATTAGCTTACCATTCATGTCTTACCAAACTGGAATAGTGAGGCTCAGAATAACTAAGGAAGCAAGCAGGGCATGGGCAGCTCACACCTGTGATCCTAGCTTCTCAGGAGGCTGAGGCTTGAGGATCTATGTTCAAAGCCAGCCCAGATAGGAAAGTCTGTGAAACTCTTATCTCCAATTAAACACCAAAAAAAGCCTGAAGTGACGCTATGGTTCAAGTGTAGAGCACTAGCCTTGAACACAAAAGCTCAGGACAATGTCTAGGGTTTGATTGCAAGCCCCAAGACCAGCACCAAAAAATAATAATTAGTAATACTAATAATGATTATAACTTAAGGAGGATTCCCCAGGTCAAACACCAAGAGAGTGACAGAAGAGAATTCCATCGAGAAATCTCACCGAAATCCACTCACCTGACCATTAGCATTAGGTTGAAAAAAATACAAAGCTAATTAGATAACATTTTGACATGAGATTGCATGATTTTTTTCTTCACATTCACTCTCTGAAAAGATTCTCATACATACCCCAGATATAAATTGGTAGAGATGGAAATAGAGTAGCCCCAGCAATAGTACATTGATTACAAATTTCCAGTCTTCTCTACCTTGGACTGACACTTGTAGGGGGAGATGAGACCTCTCATAGATGAACATAGATTATCAGGGTTTTTATCATAACTATTTGTTTTTTCATTTTCTTTGTGGTTGTCCTGGGGTTTGAATTCAGAGCCTGGGCACTGTCCCTGAGGTTCTTTTGCTGAAGGTTAACACTTGAGCCATACCTCCACTTTTGGCTTTTTTTGGTGCTTTTTTATTTAGAGAGACAACATTCTCATAGACTTCCCTGCCCAATCTGGCTTTGAACCTGGATCCTCAGATCTCAGCCTCCTTAGCAGCTAGGATTACAAGCATAAGCCACCAGCTCCCATGTATCATGGCTCTTTTGTTCCTTCTCTAACCCTTTGCATCATTCCTCTTTGCTTGAGATCAAAAAGGACTTGATAACTATATCATTTACAATGTTATAACAGAATACAAAGAAAATAGTAGCCATACCTGCATTGGCTGAAGCATCCACTAAGGAAGAGTTATCCAACATGATTTAGGAATGCTTGAGTCTACTAAGGCTCATGTTTTTGTCAATGACTTTCCAAATATTCTCAAATAAATCGTGTCTCAAAGTTTGGAGCAGAGGCAGTGGCAGAGCATTTCTTTACCATGTGGAAGTCCCTGGACTCAGTCCTCAGCGTTGCAATCAATCAATCACTCAATCAATCTGAATAAATTTTAAAAATTACTGCCTCAAGTAATTTTTTGTTTTTTTGTCAGTGGTGAGGCTTGAACTCTGGGCCTGAGCATTGTCCCTGAACTCTTCAGCTCAAGGCAAGAGCTCTACCACTTGAGTCACAGCGCCACTTCCAGTTTTCTGGTGGTTAATTGGAGATAAAAGTCTCACGGACTTTCCTGCCCAGGCTGGCTTTGAACCATGATCCTCAGATCTCAGCCTCCTGAGTAGCTAGGATTACAGGCATGAGCCATTGGTACCTGGCTGACTCAAATACTTTTAAATAGCTTTAAGTTCTCAATGGCTTTAAAACTGGAGTGTTCAGTGATGAGCTATACAATTTTCTTCATCTCCAGATAGTGGGAAAAGTCCTAATGGCATTAACCTGGACACCATCTAATCACTGGTAAATTAT